CGTTTGTTGAGTTGTGAGAGAGAAATGTGTCTTTTTGTGTAAAGGTGTCTTTTTTTTACAACGCGCCAGATCTGGTGATAATTTTTCCAAACTGGTCCTTTAAGTACGAAAAAGTGGATATATCAAGTTGCTAAATTAAGAAAAAATATCCTCTAAAACGTCGTGTTGGCAGAATCCATGTTTTGTGTGTCCTTGATACCGCAAAATCGAATGACGGCAAAACGTCTATCTGTGAACAACACTTCGTAGCGATTTCCGATTTTCTCCAAAATTGATATTTCCCAATCGATCCGGCTGATGTTGCGGGACGTTGAATTTGAAACCATATTTTTGTGAGCAGAAAACTCTAATTTTTCGAAAATTGCAAAAAATTCAATTTTTTTTCGACGTTTTCCAACAACTACAATAACGAAGATAGGGATTTTTCCCTTAATGAAATATGTTCCTTAAAGATAGATTTTGAAATATGGTTATATACAATTTGTCGAAAATTTGAGTACTTTTCGCGTAATTTTGCAAGAAATTATGGGCGATAAAGTAGCTTCACTATGCGTACGTTTTGTTGAACTTTCCACTTGCTTGTAATGGTAAGAGTAGAGGTATGGACGAGTTGCTATTTTGTTAGCAATGCAGAAAAATCATACTTGCAATTCGTATACCGATGCAAATAAGTTTCCTATAATTAGAAACAAACTGCACTATTTTTCAAAATGTGCTAATCTGCGTGCAATTTTTTAAAATGATCCACAACAGGACGCACAAAAGAAATAATATACATTTGTCCTGAACCTGTGATTCCCTTACATGAGAACAGTGCAAAATTCTAGGCAGTAAAATATCTGCACGAAGAGATTTCCTATAACATTAAAAAAAAATCTGACGATGCTTGTTTCATTTGTTATTGAGTGTTCTTGATTATACGCCTTGTTCACTTTCGTGAATTTGCCATTGTTTAATTCAAAGCCCGGACTTTGAATTAAAACCAATGGGACAGGAATTTAACTACTATACAACTAATAACAGGGAAAATATTGATCTGTGCTGCCAAAGTAGCCAAAATTGTGCAGAGAACAAATGTGATAAAGTAAGACATATAAAAATCTAGGAACCCATAACTATAAGATATATTTCAAAAATAACAATGTGTGGTTACTACTAGAGGAAAAAACCTTTAAAATTGGTTAAACTACCTAATTGTTTTCTAAAAAACGAGCCAGCCCATTGTTTTATGCTTTACGTATTTCAGACATGCGTATGTATCAAGACGGAAAAAATATTCGGTGTATCCTCTACCTATTTTCGAAATATTCACAAAAGAAGTGTCACTATCCAATAAACTACGGAAATTGAATGAAACCTATGAGAGTTTTATCATAGACTAACGTCATTT